ATCCTGCACATGTTATTGCGTAAATCAAGGTCGTTGAGGTGCAGTTCATCGAGTGTTTTATCCGAAATGTTTCATTCGTGGCGGAGAAGGTAAATTCTTTACCCTGTTTTAAATAGGGGCATGTTCCGCACCGTTTTGTTCCACAAATTTTAACTTCCGGATCAGTGATTGACTCCTCAGTTTACTATCTTTCCGTTTTACAAGATTCTCAGCTCCTCATCTTTAATCTATTGTTGTTTTTCTGATATTGTAATTTATTTAATTTATATTGACTTGATGCGAAAGCGTTGTCAATTAATAAATGTAGATGTAGGTGTAGGCTTGCACTTTCTAATGTAAAATGCTTCATAAAGGCGTAGATTAGCGGGGTCGTTTTCGCTCATAATACTGAATCTTGACCGCCTCAATGCCTTTGTAGTCTTTGTTCTGGCAGGAATACACTTTCAGTTTATATCCACTTTGTTATTCGTCCTAGAATAAGAAGCAGTTCTTGACCCATATGGAGAGAGCTGAGAAGGCAAAAGTAAGTTTGCTGAGATATTTAGGTTGCGTTCCTTTTAGCCAAACTTTTTTTCGGATATAGACAATCCGGATGGTTGGATTGTCGTGGTAGGCAGAAAAAGAATTTAAAAAGATTGATCCATACTGTAGTTGGCTGCTGCACTGATCTCCTTCGCAATTTCCTCGCAACGCTTTTGATTTTTTCCCCTAATAGAAGTGTCTTCTCATAGAACAATGGAAGGGAAAGTACCCCTTTGACTAGTAGCGGTTCATACTGGGACTTGTCAACTTGAAATTATCTGGAATTTGAACCAAACAATCTCAGACAAACAACTACGAAACATCAAATGCTGAGAGATGAACATTTCACGGTGAGAGAATCGCCAAGCGTTTTCGTTTGCGCATCTTGAGTTACACGGTACCATATGAGTTTAATATATTATAGCTTTTAAGTTGCATAGGACAACGGTGGAGTATGAATAACGTTTGCCTGTTTATCGATCGCCTGATGAACGAGTACATTCAAGATTGCGATTAAAAAGCAGTGTCGTTGAATGAAACAAAAATATGAAACGAGATTCAGATACCAATCTGAACGATTCAGGTGCAAAATCGGATTTATATTGGTGAAATGGAGCACCGCAACGCAAGTGTAGTGTTCTCTCTTTGTTAATTTAAGCAAAGTAAAATATATTTTAAAAACGTCACTTGCTGGAAGGATTGAAAATGGCATATTTTGACGACTTAAACATAAATCAAACCCGGCAAAGTGCAGTATTGAATCATTATCTCTAACATTAAGATACAGACAGTAAAGTTATTAGTACGGAGATACATTTACGCCGAGATTGTTAGACCCAGAAGACAGGGTTAACCATTATAACAAAGTAGATAACCCGGTGTTAGGTATTTGGACTGATGGATTTGGTTGTTTTCAACAGGATTTTCAAGAGAGGGTGTACTCTCTTGGGATTAAGTAATCCTTTACATTTATCTTTACTGTGATAAAAGTTATTTCAGGGGCACCCAACGAGAATATAGATCAAAACCACTTAAACATAGAATTGTTAAACGTATTTTAGTATTTAAACGGTAGATATAGGCATATTTTTATCCCCTAAAAATTTTTCATCTGTTCGGATTTCCTAGCTGAAAGTCAAGTGATCCGAAAATTATAGGGATCAAAACTTACCTTTTCGAAAATTTCAGCCAGAAAAAAGGCTCCCGAAAATTGTAGGTGACCTTTTTAGGGTAAAAATCCGTTAAAAATAGGCTATTATACCATTTTTTAGATGTTCGAAAATCCTAGGAGAGGCAGGCAAGCAAGAAATTTTACAACAAATGTTCCGAAAATTCTAGATCTCAAATCGTCTTCCGAACAGATTTTTTCCCGAAAATTGTCGTTGGGTGCCCCTGTTATTTTTTAAAAAAATAGGCATCGAGAGGCCTCCTACACAAGGCTGCAATCAGTGGACAATACGAGACGGTCAAAATGCTTCTTGAATGTGGCGAAGATGTGGATCAAAATGATCAGGTTTTGTCTTCCCCGGTCTTTGTAAATCTAATGCTTGTGGATTACATTCTTTTCTTGCTTTTGTAGATTGAGCGGGCGCTTGTGTTTGGGTTTGCGGCATCTTCCCGGCTGGCGGCGATTAGAAGCTATCGCCTGCACCCCAGGAAGGTGAGGTAACCCGCCTGTCCATATAATCTCTTATTTTGATCGGATCACGTTTACACGTTAGGTGGGGTAACCCGCCACATGTTACCACACCTACCTGGGGTCCCCCACCTTCATGTAAACAGGCCCTAAAATAGAAGGTCTGCGAATTCACTACATTCCTCCCGGGAATTGAATGTAGGCGTGCACTTTCTAATGTAAAATGCTTCATAAAGGCGTAGATTAGCGGGTTTGTTTTCGCTCATAATAACCTTGACCTCAATGCCTTTATATTCCTTGTTCTGGCAGGAATATACTTTCAGTTTATACCCATTTTGTTATTCGTCCTAGAATAAGAAGCAGTTCCTGACCCATATGGAGAGAGCTGAGAGAGCAAAAGTAAGTTTGCTGAGATATTTAGGTTGCGTTCGTTTTAGCCAAACTTTTTTGCGGATATAGACAATCCCTGTGGTTGGATTGTCGTAGTAGGCAGAACAAGAATCTTTAAAAAGATTGATCCATACGGTAGTTGGCTACTGCACTGATCTCCTTCGCAATTTCCTCGCAACGCTTTTGATTTTTTCCGCCAATTGCAGCGTCTTCTCATAGAACAATGGAAGGGAAAGTACCCCTTTGACTAGTAGCGGTTCATACTGGGACTCGTCAACTTGAAATTATCTGGAATTTGAACCAAAAAATCTCAGACAAACAACTGCGAAACATCAAATGCTGAGAGATGAACATTTTACGGTGAGAGAATCGCCAAGCGTTTTCGTTTGCGCATCTTGAGTTACAAGGTACCATGATATGAGTTTAATATTTTACAGCTTTTAAGCGGCATAGGACAACGGAGGAGTATGAATAACGTTTGCCGGTTTATCGATCACCTGATGAACGAGTACATTCAAGTTTGCGATTAAAAAGCAGTGTCGTTAAATGAAACAAAAATCTGAAACGAGATTCAGATACCAATCTGAACGATTCAGGTGCAAAATCGGATTTATATTGGTGAAATGGAGCACCGCAACGCAAGTGTAAGGTTCTCTCTTTGTTAATTTAAGCAAAGAAAAATATATTTAAAAAACGTCACTTGCTGGAAGGATTGAAAATGGCATATTTTTGACGACTTAAACATAAATCAAACCCGGCAGAGTGCAGTATTGAATCATTATCTCTAACATTAAGATACAGACAGTAAAGTTATTAGTACGGAGATACATTTACGCCGCGATAGTTAGACCCAAAAGACAGGGTGAACCATTATAACATAGTAGATAACCCGGTGTTAGGTATTTGGACTGATGGATTTGGTTGTTATCAACAGGGTTTTCAAGAGAGGGTGTACTCTCTTGGGATTAAGTAATCCTTTACATTTATATTTATTCTGATAAAAGTTATTTTTTAAAAAAAATAGGCATCGAGAGGCCTCCTACACAAGGCTGCAATCAGTGGACAATACGAGACGGTCAAAATGCTTCTTGAAAGTGGTGAAGATGTGGATCAAAAAGATCAGGTTTTTGTCTTCCCCTGTCTTTGTAAATCTAATGCTTGTGGATTCTTATGCACTTGTTTCTTGCTTTTGTAGATTACGAGCAGGAGCTTGTGTTTGGGTTTGCGCCATCTTTCCGGCTGGCGGCGATTAGAAGCTATAGCCTACACGAAAGCCTTTGAGTATAATTGTATTCCTTGCGTTCATGAACGAACACAGCATTCTAATTGGCCGGTAGTGACAAATCGTTGACAACAGGACAGGAAAACCACAAAATTCTGTTTTAGCGCATATTCTTTAAAACAGACTCTTAACGTCTTTACTTTTTATAATCCAGTACTTGCTGATAGTCTCAGCACGTACTCGGGTTAGCTTTCATTTTCTGTGTCTTTTTAAAAATAGGCACGAAAAAGTCCTCTGTAAGACTTCAGGCAATTTTCTTCCAAAGTTCTCCATCAAACAAGAGTAAACCGTTTACCCCTAAGATGCAGTATTTAAGGCCATGTTCTTTACCCGAGTGTTTTGCTTTCGATGTCTGATAGTGTTTCCTCTTAAATTCATGGGAAAGAGCAAAATATTAAAGTTCTTAATGTTGTAACTGGTTTGAACCCATGAATCCTGTCATTAGTAGGTCGAGTAAGTGTAGCTCTGAATGGAACTGCTGACCACACTGACATTTTCACAACCTGTGCAGAAGTCTACATAAGAGTCAAGGAAAATTCTGATAATCGCTTCGACACAGGTTGTAGCAAACGTCAACTTCTGTCACCAACAGACCTATTCGGTACTTCACTCACCCAGACGATCATATTCAAACTACTTTAATAATGTTATATGTTGTAGTTAATTTTTTATCTCACTTAATTTTTGTTTTTCTTTTGTTTATGGTAATGTACGCTAATGAAGTTGAAACATAAGAAAAATAAAAATTACCTGAGCTAAAAAATTAACTACAACATATACGAGTCTGTAACGATGAAAAGTTAAGGGGACTTTGGACTTGGGGGGGAAGTGATCCGCCGTGAAAAGGAAAAGGTAAAAGTCCTTATTTTACGTCGGTAGCTCAAAATAGACATTTGACCAACTAACCTGAGGCCGACGGCGGGCTCATTTACTCCGCTCCCCTCCCCTCCCCCCAGCAGCAATGTTCTGAACGCAAACAGATAGCCTTGTTCCACCAATTCCTAATGGAAAGTGGCCTGTAAACGTTGCATTTGGGCTCAGTTTTAATGTTGCACTTGGCCCCCTCCTTGTAAAATGAAGGAAATAAATTAGTCCAGTAACAGCCTCTAGATTTATTTTATGAAAGACCATCATTATTGCTGGACAAACTGCCCGTTCTCACCCTTTTCTACTTGCTTTTTTTTTCTTCCTATTTCTGTAGTTTTCTTTGACTCCTCTTCATCTTGCCTGTTGGTATGGACAGGAATCTATTGTCATACTGTTGTTAGAACATGGTGCAAACGTCAAAGCTAAAGACAGGGTGAGATAGTGAACGTTTTTTTTTTTTTTTTACAGTAAACAATATAGTGCCGAGAGAAGAGTGAGACAAGGGAAGTTGTTGTTGCATTTGAATCTCTTACGGTGGCAAGATAAATTAAATTTAACGACTGCGTTGATATAACTGCTATTTTTATCTTTGTGTCCTTACCGTGTTACATTTACTTTCAATAGTACGTTCCTAATTTGTTAGTTTTTTGTTGTGCTTCTACACTAGTTGTTTTTATTTGTTATTCATGAGAAAATTGGGCTATAATAAATCATTTAGTTAAAAAATTGAAAGGCACAAAGTCTAGTTTCGCAAACTTTTAACTGTAACTGTAAGACTTCCTCTGCTGAATTGAAGGTTTCGTTGCGCAGGCAAAGGAAATTGCTCTTATTCACTCTCGGGACCGGCCTAAACAAGACTCAGTGTAATCGTGAAGACGGGGCTTGCATGAATTGCATTACACCTGTAACTGTTACTCCGGCCGTTACCATGTGAGGGAAATCTGAGGGAAACTAGACTTTTCTATACTGTTTCTGACTACCAATTACCTTTCCTATAATGTAAAACCACACCGTGGACTAGTCGTCCCCGAACAGTGTGAGAGTGCTTTAACGTCCCGCAGAATTTACCATATGTGCAAGAATAGTGAGACGGAGCTTACGGTTTATCGTCCTTATCCGAGGCGACTAGAAAGTATTAAGGAGACGAATGGCACAGCATATTTCAAATATTTCCTCCTACAATTTCTGTAAACGAAGGTCCCTTAAGTGTCCGTTAAATGCAGGTTTCGTTCTGTTTAGGATAATGAACAGTTCCTTATTGCAATACCTTATGTAGACATACCCCTAGTTAAGATATTTCTTCTTCGTAAATAACAAGTGGTAAGTAACACGAATTACATACTCTGCTTGTAATGTTTTTAGTTTCAACGTACACCTCTGCAGAAAGCTGAACGTCAAGAACACCATTCCATAGTACAGTTGCTGTTGAAAAATGATCCTACGCCAAGTCTTCTTCAACCAGTAAGATATCATACTACATGTCCCCTAATCCTTCTTGCCAACCTTGTCTTTCAGATGGAATTCGCTTACATTTGTTATATTCTCTGTTGATAATGTTGAACGTATATTAGTATAGTATTACGTATACAATGTCGTATGAGTTTTTATCCTAGCTTATATCGCGAAGACCTTATATTGGTTCTTCTCTACACGAACGTGATTTCCAATCGCTCGGTTATCACCATCCGAAGATCACAGTACAATGAATCCTGTATTAAACGGAAACCTAATTAAGCGGATGAGTGGCTCAATATTTCCCTCAAACGTTTAGTCCCACATTTACTGTGAGTTTACTGTAAAACGAACCCATTAGTAGCGGACACCATCAAAGGTCGCGTGTGTGTCCAAGACAGTTTTCATCGCACATGATATTTCTTGGTTATTAATGTCGGCTCTCTGAATGGTTTTGGACACACTAGGGATGGGGGTTTAATATGCTGCAATCACATGAAAGGACGAAAACTACATCATTGTTTGTAAAGTCCATCTCAACTTAACAAGCAAATCCTTACCCCCACCGTTACAGAAAGGGCAAGACAGTTACATCCCCCTACCTTCAGATGCTTTTTTTTTTTTTTTTTGCTGTGTTGCGGAATTTGCTAAAACTTAAACTGAAATGTATTATATAGCCTGCGATTAGCTTTTAAATGTAATCTAGATATCATGGGGGTGACTGGCGCTGTGGGAGCCCAGTAGTTTCATTCAAATAACTACTCATTAATAACCACCATCTAAATTGTGTTCTCCAAAATTACCTGAAACGTTTGTTCGCAACCACCCTTTTTTTTCGAATTCGCTGATAGTGCCTACTCTTGGTACCTGCAGGAAACAAAAAAACTCGACATTGTTTAGAAGGGTGGAGGAGGAATCCAGACAGTCTTGTTTTCAAAACCTTTCCCCCATCTGACAGCTAAAAATTCTAACATCAACTTTGTCGCCATTTGGAGCCATTTTCATACTTTTAGTCTTAAAGCGGTATCATTAATGTCAAACTCAGAGAAGCTAGAGAATTAGAAATATTTTGGAAATGTTCATTGTCTTATGATCAATCCAATTATGGATTAGTTAGCGGGCAGCAAACCACAAAATAATTACCCTTGCTGCATGCAGCTCACTTCTCCCTCACTTTGTTGGCTTCTTTCCCCTTGACACAATAACATTCCAGAAATAATTTTGGTGTTGATAAATTTCCAGGAGCAACAATAATTAACTCTTTGACGGGCAAGCTTCTATATAAATATTAGCATGTTCGCGGTTTCTGAATTTGATAGTAACAATTCTAAACAAAATGTATGTTGTAACCATAGCAACCAACCACATTTTTTGTAGATGTGTCCATTTGCATTAAGAGTATAGTAAAGCCCGGTCAATCTATGATCTGCAATAAGAATAGTAGGAAAGTAGTGCTAAATGAATTCCCTCTTTCTAATTTTCGCTCAAAAACATGGTCATTTTCATCGTAGGTAAGTCTAAAGGAACTCTCAAGAAAAGCTTTCTTGCAAGTGGATAAACAATCTGGATTTAATCTACTTCAGGCGGCTGTCTTAGAGGGAGAATACAACATTGTTTTAGAAGCTAGTGGCCTTCTTGTGAACTTCTTAGAAGAGATGGAGTATACAAAAACGGGAAATAACGCCAAAGGATTTTCCGGGAAAACTGCAGTTGACATCTTATCACTTGTGAAGGGAACAAAATCAAATCATTATAGTATCGAACGACTTCATAAAAAGTTGGCTGAGAACAACAGCAGACTGACTGAGCTGCAGTGGGGTACATGCAATGATGATGCGGAACAGGCTGTTGAACTTGTATTAAATGACGGTGTAGATATTAATGCCTCTGGATCAGACAATGATTGCACAACTTTGCAGCAGACGAGTCGTTCATCCTCAAGTCAGTTTATTGAGACCCTTATTGATCTTGGGGCCGACGTTGATGCCCAAAGAAAAGATGATAAAGTTACACCTTTAATATTAGCAACTGAATGGAGCAATTACATGGCAGCGTGCTTGCTTTTAAGGCATGGAGCTAATGTAGATGTCCAGGGTGGCAATGGGTTCACAGCACTGCACGTTTCAGTCAATAAAGGTCACGAAAACCTCATCAGGTTGTTACTTAAACACAAAGCGGATGTAAATATTCAAGATTATAGTGGACATACACCCCTGCACCGGTGTGTGACAGAAGGTAACGAAAACATCGGTAGATTATTACTTGAACACAACGCGGATCTAAATAAACAAAATCAAGATGGATGCACACCGTTGCACCTGTCAGTGAACAGTGGTTTCGAAAGCCTCGTGAGATTGTTTCTTGAACTCAGCGCAGATGTTGATGTTCAAGATAAAGAAGGCTACACAGCACTGCACCGTTCAGTCACAAAGAATAACGAAAACTTCGTCCGATTATTTCTTAAACGCAACGCAAATGCAAATATTAAAACTGCTAATGGGTATACACCCCTTCACCAGTCAGTCTTTAAAGGAAACGAAACCCTCGTTAGACTGTTACTTGAACACAAAGCGGATGTAAATATTCAAGATAATAATGGACAGACTCCCTTGCACTGGTGTGATACAAAGGATAACGAAAACCTTGCCAGATTGTTACTTGAACACCACGCGGATGTAAATATTCAAGATAATAGTGGATTTTCACCCCTGTGCTGGTATGCTTTTAAGGGTAACGAAAAGCTCTGTAGAATGTTGCTTGAACACAACGCGAATGTAAATATTCAAGATTATCAGATATATACACCCTTGCACTTGTGTGTCATAAAGGCTAACGAAAACCTCTGTAGATTGTTACTTGAATTCAACGCGGATGTTAATATTCAAGATAGAGATGGATATACACCGTTGCACCAGTGTGTCATAAAGGGTAACGAAAACCTCTGTAAATTATTAGTTGAACACAACTCGGATGTAAATATTCAAGATAGACGTGGATGTACACCCTTGCACAAGTGTGTCAAAAACCGTAACGAAAACCTCTGTAAATTATTAGTTGAACACAACTCGGATGTAAATATTCAAGATAGACGTGGATGTACACCCCTGCACTTATGTGCCAAATGGTGTGGAGAAAACCTCTGTAAATTGTTACTTGAACACAACGCGGATGTAAATATTCAAGATGAAAGTGGATGTACATCCTTGCACTATGGTGTCGAAAACGGTAACGAAAACCTCTGTAAATTATTACTTGAAAACAACGCGGAAGTAAATATTCAAGATAGACGTGGATGTACACCCTTGCACTTATGTGCCAAATGGCGTGGAGAAAACCTCTGTAAATTGTTACTTGAACACAACGCGGATGTAAATATTCAAGATGAAAGTGGATGTACACCCTTGCACTATGGTGTCAGAGAAGGTAACGAAAACCTCTGTAAATTATTACTTGAAAACAACGCAAAAGTAAATATTCAAGATGAAAGTGGATATACACCCTTGCACAGGTGTGTCATGACGGATAGCGAAAGCCTCTGTAGATTATTACTTGAACACAACGCGGATGTAAATATTCAAGATAAAGGTGGACAAACACCGCTGCATTAGTCAGTTACTAAATCAGACCGTTACTGGTACAGAGCAAGAGATTGCAGTCAGATAATCGATCTGCTGATCAAGTATGGTGTGCAAGATATAGACGTCCGTGATGCAAACGGCAGGACGCCTCTTCAATTGGCAGTGAGATCTCGTAACGACCAAGCTGTTCAAAAGCTTCTTGATTTAGGCGCTGATGTTAGTGTGGTAAAAGCTGATAAAAGAGGTGCCATTAGATGGGAACGCTTAAAGAATACAGCGGAGAGGATGGAACGGCATCAAAAGTTTGCTGCCATTTCTGTGCAAGAAACAAAAGAAACAGAGGCTGCAACTAGTGTCACTATTGTTCCAAGGGCAGAAAAACTCACAGAATCACATTTCAAATCAAAGGAAATGCTGAAGCAAACTCCCTCGCATACAACAGAGAAAACAGAGGATAAACCGAAAGCTGAACAAGCAAAGACAATGGGAGCGAGCCACCCCAAATCAATGGCTACTTCATCCTCAAAAACTAATTAATTGAAAAGGCCTAATTTAGCCATTTTTTGTCGTGTTAGAGTTCTGTTTTTGAAAAGGACCTGCAACAGCTGTTCCATCGACAAACGAGTGCATGGCGCTTTTATTAAGGGACGGACCATTAGCAAAGTTATGGGGGGTGGGGGCGGGGGCGGGGAATTTTTCGAGCAGCATGAATTTTTTTTCTTTAGTGTTTCCCTTGAATGAATATTTTTTTCTCAAGATGTTTTGCACGAATATTTTTTTTCCTTAAAGTAACACTAGACTAAAAAATATTAAATCATTCAGTTGTTTACTTAGCCCAGGGCATAATTTAAGTATAGGCTACCTGGGCACGTAGGCGGAAGTAATATTGTACGTACATTGGTACTGCGCAAGTTCATATTGCTTTGCTGAAATTTTACATGTAAACAGCATTACGAACAACAAGTCACGGCAGGAATGTTTCAGGCTCAAACATGAACAGATTCTGACACAGTTTGAAGAAATTAATTTTTTTATTACTATGTTCATAAATCGGCAAGTGCATTTTGCAGAACGCTAGACGCAGAACGCCGAATGATGAACAGCGGTATATAGTGACAACCCTAACAGTAAATAAACGCTAACCATACTTCCAGTCAGTGCTTAACCCTAATCACTACTCGCAGGACTTAACCCTAACCACTATAGTCATGTCTTAGCCCTTATCACTATTTTCAGTGCTATATACCACTGACCATCATTCGGCGTTCTGCAAAATACCCCTACCGTTGATAAATTATCGATATTTTCTTACCATATTGATACATTAAAGTATTTGTTTATAAGAAATACAACTATGATGATGATATTGTTATTATCAAGAACCAGAACGGAAATTGTCGAAAAGTGTGTGGTAAAACTAGATGAATTTGACCAAATGTTAAAAGTCTTTAGGCTGCTAGTCTGAAAAGAACATGTATCTTTGAGTTAGTTCCATTTATCTAAAAGGACCAGCAACAACTGTAAAAACGAAATCTCAGAAAATTGATTTTTTTATTGTTTTTATTTTATTTATTTATCTGTCGCTTGTTAGAAGTATCAAGAAAAAATATATATTCTAGGTGTTTCTGGGTGTTTCCTTCGATTTATGGAGAATACTCTGATTATTGTTATCCAGATATTAGCTATATAACACAAAGTAAGGAAACGATAACCTTATAAGATGTTGATTTTACGTATAATATGTAAAAAAGTATAATTAAATCTATTTAAAGTTATTTAATATTTTATATCTGAAATTGCCAGCTATGAAAATTTATGATAAGCTCACTAGGAGTAATCGGAGCTTAGGAGAGTGCGTTCGATATGTTTGCCAGGCGTACAGGTAGCAGTGATAGCGAAAGGGTGGATGGTTCTTGCGATAGATAGCTATGATTATGGCATATTTTCAACGTAAGGGTTGCGTACAGCGAAACCTCGATTTAAACTGTGTATCATTATGAAAATGTTTTGAAGGCTAGTGATCAGCGTGATATCGTAAGGTTCATCTCAAGTGCTTGTGCTTGCTTAGAAGTCCTTTTTTAAGTCCAACCTCACACTTAAACCATACATAAACGGGGGGCAATCGCTGCGAAAGCTTTAAAAGACAAAAGACAACTGTTCATAGCAAAAGTCATTTTAAACTGACAATCGCCGCAAAGGCTTTGCCAAACCTGTAAAGACAATTTCAGCAACATGGCAATTTTTTCCACCCTAACCTTAAAAGAGACTCTTGTAAAGTATTTGAATAGGACGTTTCACAAACGAAGTAAAATTAAGAAAACTGTCATTACCAAACAGTACTGCAAATGTCGATAAAAACCTGAAGACATTAACACCAAAACCTCTAATTTCTGCAAGCTAAAGGTGACCGTATTCGATGGAGCTCTTCAAGCAACAAACGAGCAAGGATTCAGGACTGCAAAAAAAGAATTGAATGATAACAGATTAATCTCTTTTTTATTATTTAACGCCTTTTTCGGGCATAAAATCTTTCCGTTGGTTAGACACAGGTCGTGACTGAAATATTTTACTTGAAAATTGTAGTCAAAGGCTCCGTTCGCACTATAACATAGTTGATATTCTATTTATTGTATAAGACTCCAAACATGTATGTCTGTATTTATGTAGGTATGTGCCGCCCCATCGGGTAGGGTTTTTTGTGGCTATTTTGGTCTGGAATCGGGTATGGTTTTCAAGGGAACTACGGAGTGTATGAACATATTTATCGTTTCAATTTAATCGAAATGGATTTTAAGAATTTTTTGTTTGCACTCAAAGGTAAGTAATGATAACATAATTTTTGCCTAAAGGCCAGGTCTGAAAACGGGTAAGGATTTTAGAGGTCTAGTCTGAAAACGGATGTGGAAAATTACATTTGTGGGTCTTAAATTGGGTCAGGATTTCAAAAACCGGGGGGCACCCCCCCAACAAGAATTCCCAGGAGTACCCCCCCGGGAGTCGAGGGTTCAATAACTGTCATTCCCAAGCTCTGGACAATAATATAATTTCGCATCAGTAATCGTTCTTAGGTGCAATTGACATTTCTGTTTCCTGGCGAAAAATTTCGTTCAGAATGAATGTGTGAACAGGCTCTCTGTTTGGGGAAAAATAGCAAGGAAGGGGAAGGGAAACGGGGGGAGAGAGCCTGTAGACAAATAGCCTGAGATCATGCCCTCTCCCTATTATCCCTTTATGTCTCTCAGCCAAAGAAGCAAAGAAGCAAAAAAAATAAAATAACGCCTGATCTCAGGTTAGTAGACAAACATTTGAGGCCGCTATTCCGCCCTCTTGTAATTATCGTGCCGACCATCTGACAGTAACATCGTTATCGGTCAATCAATTTCGGGCACGATGAGTAACTCCTGGGAAAATTAACAGGAAATGAGAGGTGTTTTGCTTAGCCTGTGTACAGACGTCCCCCCTCCCTCAGGATTTTTGCTGAGGGGGGGACGTCTGTACACAGGCTATATCCAGAGCAAGAAGAGTGTTTAAGAGAACTCATCTTCAAAATATCCCCACGACATAGAACACATACAACTGGTGCAGCAAACATCGCAGGTCTCAATTCACATTTTTTGTTCAAGAAAGGCGAAAACTAGCCGGTGAATATACACCAACTCAAAGAAAACATGCAAAGGCAAGGGAAGAAATGCCTTTGTTTGCTTTGCCGGGAAAACTCTTATCCCGGAGTTTTCTGCGACCTATTCACCAATCACGACACAGGAAATTACTTAGGTCATGGCATTTTATTACAACCAATCAGAGGCTGTCCCCAACATTCCGGGGAAACGGCGATTCACAGACGTCCCCTCTCCCGATTTTTTCCTGAGGGAGGAGGGGACGTCTGTACACAGGCTAACCCTATCAAAGCCTTCAATGGAACGTGTGTGCGGCTCACGTCAATAACTTTTCCAGTAATTGGTCGAGCGTGTTGATTTCAGTGAATCGAGAGTGGCGCTACTGTGGGCTGATTTATAAGTTTTTCCTAATAAGTAACATAGAGTTAAAGTGTTCGTTTGTCCGGTGCCGAAAACTAAAATCACAAATCATGGTCAAATGGCGCCGCCGAGCTTCACATCTCTGTAGATTTACTTTGTGGCACAACGGCTGCCGAGCTACACAACTCGTAAATTTACTTTGTGACAAAACGGCCGCCGAGCTACACAACTCGGTAAATTTACTTTGTGGCATAACGGCCGCCGAACTAAACCCGGTTTGATGCATGCACCCGTAGTCGCAGACATTTTCCAAAGACAGTGACGAACCATGCTGAAAAATATGAAGGCTTAATCCAAAGTAAAAATTTAACAGCAAACTCCTGAAAGATGAACGCTTTGGACGATTCAGCAATCACAGATCGATGTACGCTTTACAAAGATTCAGCAAACTTTTTAAAAGATGAACGCTTTACGAAGAATAACAGACCTTAGCAAACCTTTGAAAGATGAACGCCGAGGACACAACAGTCACCACATGAGTTAGCGTGTCAAAGTGAGGCAAAACTTGAGAAAGCGCCTCAAAGCGAGGCAAATGTGTGTCGACGACGAACGAAAATGCAATCTCAAAAAATCCCCCTTATTAATTGCACAGGTCACCCAATAATGCACAGAACACCCAACCCAAATTAGGGGTTGCGTTCTTGTACCTCGAACGGAACTATTATTATTATTTTTATTATTATAATTATTATTATTATTATTATTATTATTATTATTGTGTACGAATCAAGACTTGTGTGCCCTATTTTCTGCAAATGTTGGTTTGAGTTGACGTTACCATTTCTTCGAAGAGCTCATTTGACAAAATCTACCTCTTACTTTTGGTCGACGGTTAGAAGACGTCAGGATGAAACATGAGTCCATGAGGCTCAATCGCTTGTCTCTTATGCAACTTTCAAGAACTTAGGCCTAGATACAAATATCCAGATGTTTTTAAAGATATTTAGAAGAGACGTTTATTATTTTTCGTAATATTTAGAAAATCTCATGATATTTAGAAAAAATTGTGATATTTAGAATTTTGTTAAGAAAAAAGTATTGAAATCATGTTTTTTCTAGGTAGTTACTTCATTGCTAATTAGGGCATGGGTACTTCAGTGACAAATATTCAAACAAATCTCCCCATATGGGTCCATTTATAATATATGCAATGTGGCTAATGTTCAACAAAATGGCTAATGCTAACAGATCAGCTGCAGTAATTCATACAGTTCCCGATGACGTAACCGGGAATTT